GCTCTAGTCAATGCTTGTGTTTATACCGGCCAGCCACGGCACGTTTCTGAAGCGGCTCTCCGTGCTGCTTAGCTAAAAATAGACTTTTGTGAGTTGTCACAGCATGGAGGACCGAACAAAACCTCGTCGGAGCAGTAAGGGATAACGGTAACATAACACGCTGATCATGGGCTGCTTTTAAATGAACATTTATTTATAAAACAAAGTATCTTCTTTGGCCATATTAGCCTACTCAATAGCATTAACACAGGCTTTTCTCCTTTCAGACTTTATCTGGAATGTCACCGTTTCTGTCACTGCAACTTCAGGCGAACGAACACACACACATTTTTTTCATGAGGCAGACGATTTCGTGTGTATTTAAAAAATTGTTTTGTTAATATTTGTATCATTTATGATTTATTTAATCCACCCGCGACCCACCCGCAAATAATCAGAATGCATTTTTTATTACCCGACCCGCGGATTATCCGCAGCGCCCGTGGATATAGGAAAAGCAAAATATGTTTGCTGCGTAAATCAGACGGACTTTCTGAAAATGCTAATTCATTCTCTGCCAGCAAGAGGTGCTTTAAAGCGGGAGAAACTGAGGTTTACCCAGTGCGCCCGATGAAACAGTCTATATAAAGCTTGAAGCATCAGAATCGGCATCGGTATCGGCCGATCACCATGACAAGAAATCGGTACTCAGTATCGGCTGCAAAAATCCTGATCGGAGCATCCCTATAAAAATGTTATGTTGAACTATAATGTTAATATTTTAAGTGATTACATAATGTTATTCCTTTAAATTGGCGTTATGGAAACGCCATCTAGGGTACATTGTATGCTTACTTTTCTACAGTACCTAGAGTGTTTGCTGGAGGTTGTCCATCTTATCGCCTACCGGTTGAGACTGTTCTGTAATAATATTTGACTATGATAAGAATCTGTTTGACTTGATTGTTTTGTGTATTGTCTTTTTTACTTTAGGTCTGTCTAAAGCAGAGACACAGGCTCTATGCAACTACGGCAGTGGAGAAGATGAAAATGAAGTGGAGGAGATGGAGGAGTTTGAGGCTGGACCTGTTGAGGTGCAAACATCATTACAAGCCAGCATGGACAACACTAGTGAACACAGCCAGGTGTGTTGGCATTTACACGAGAGAGCCAGTAATCTGATTCAGCTCAGACAAATGACAAACACACTAATAATAACCTGTCGTGTTGTTTCAGGGCTCTGCCTTACGAAACGAAGCCCCCCAGGAAACCAAATCAGACATAGAAAACTCAGAAAGCAGCCAATGTATGCCTTTTTATTTCTTCTTATACCATTAACATTAATTGAGATTTATTGGGGTATTTACACTCCACTCATTGTATTTTGTCTCCCTTTTTCAAACAGTGATAAACATTAAATCTGAGTCCAAAGACATGTTTCAGCCTCCAGAGGAGGGCAGAGAGGAGGCAAAAACTGGTTCGGGAGATGAAAGACGGGAGGAGGAGGAGGAGGACTGTACTGTTTCTCCAGCCCAGGAAACTCCACAGAGCTCAGATACAGCCAGTCCTGACACAGAGTCTCCAGTCATGATCAACACTGATGTATGTCTCATTCTTCTCAGCAAACATCTTTTATTTGTTCATTTAGAATGGTTTTAAAACATGTATTATATTCCTTTTTTGTTTGACTTTTTATAATAAAGGAGGCTGGATCTGGAAATACCAGCCAGAGATCAGATGAGGAAGATTTTGTGAAGGTTGAGGATCTTCCTCTTCAAATGTCTGTTCTTTGTGAGGTAAGAGAGCTTGAGTGATCGCGTTCTAATAGGGATGGGGCACGATAGTCAACTTGACAAGTAAAATTCATGGAAAAAGTTAACCTATTTATTTGTTGAATGTCAGTCACCTGCACTGTAGTAGCCGTGTTTTACATGTCCCTATTTTCTAAAGTGTGTAAGACATCTCCAAAGAGTGCTGGTTTTAAACATTTCCTTTGCTTGTAATTTGTACAGGAAGAGCTTTGTAAGAGGATCTCAGAAGAGCAGCAGAATAATAACTTAACAGCTGAAATTCTGAATGGAAATAAAGAAGAGATTACAGGATTGGTGGGAAATGCTCAAGCACTCAAAGAGCCTGGTAACTATTAAATGTCACTCAAACCTTATGCATTGGATATTGATATTACTATGATTTGCTTATCAGCAGATATCCCTGTGATGGATGAAGAAATGTTTCACTCATAATGTAAATCATATCTGTTTTCCAGAAACCATTGGAGCTCAGAGTGCATGATAATGGTATTTTGATCCATCTTACACTGCAAATCATCATTCATGCAACATTACTGTATAATGAGCTCAATACCTTAAGATTCCTTGGAAACAACAGCTAAGTCTTGGTGAATTAGCCTGTCAGCATGTGTGATCTAACAGTTCAAGAGACGTTAAAGAAGTCTCTCTACACTTGTAATCGTTTTATTTGGATTGTTTTATGAAGAATGTAGGAGAGATGTTTTGAAGGGGCTCTGTCTTTAAGCCTGCAAGTACTTTTTCTGTGTTTCTTTGTTCAGCCAGAACTCTCAGTAAACGCTCCTTCAAATGCTTCGGTTTAAGAGATGCAAATCATTTTTGTGTTCCTATGTTTGGCATGGTTTGGCTTTTGTATTTGCATTTCTTTCTAGGATTCCTTCCCAGACCGCTATGATTATTTGCCAATGCAATACATAAAGGACAAGAGATGTTTTTTTTTTTTTTGATTCAGGACAAAACTTAAGCACATTTTGAAAAAAAACAAAACAAAATCCCTATTTAAATTTATTTTACTTGACCCAGAATACATAATGAAATGTGTAATGGATAGAGCAGAATCGCATATTAGCACTGGTACATTGTCCTGTCCTTTCTTATTGCTCTTTTAAATGTTTTCTCTTGCTTTTAATTTTTGCTTTTTTAAGGCATGTTGGCCAATGCTTGGGTTCTCACCCCATTTCATCTCATGTAATTCGCCAATGTTTAGATTATTAAAATAAAACATTGATTTTTACCACTTCCTGCAGTGATTGCTCTCTTTATCCCATTTGCACAAAACCTGCTTTGGTAAGTGTTTATTTTGCAAACTGTTGACTGATTTCCACAAGTATTGTATCTCCATGATTTATTGATGTTATTTGTGCAAATTTGTTTATTGCTTTATGTACATTCATTTCTTTCGGTTGATAATTTTTCCCTCATGCATTTGTTAGTTAACAGCGCTGATGAGGTTAAATAAAGTTATGAGGCACCAGTAGTGTTGATTATCAAGTTGTTCCACTGTGCATATTTCTGTATGTTAATATGTAGTTACAAAAAAATGATATACAAAAATGTCAATCACATTCACAAAAATTTGAAAAAAATTTGTACAATCGGTCATGCAATTATTTTTTGTTTCCATAACATGCATCTTTAGACAAGTGTTAAGTAGGCTGCCCTACTGTGCCTGTTTGACAGGTTAAGCTTGATTAAACCCAATTATGCCCACAAAAGCAGACATAACAAACCTTTTAGCATGTAAGACTACTGATTTTTAATGGGAGCTAAAATATGAATTAGATTCTTCTTTGCCTAAATGCCTAAACGTACAGAAGTCTGTCCCAGCAATGCAGCCTTTCCAGAGGAAGTCCCTCACCATGGCATGCAGGGGTTAGGACAGTCACGGATGTAAGACTCCAGTGTTCCCTTCGACACCTCCATAAGAGTAGTGTATGTGGTCAACTGTACAGCACAATAAAGGGAAGTGTTAACAAACAATCCATAAAATGAAATATAAAACACTAACAGTAAAAGATGATGGACCTACTTTATTTAACACTGGCTTGGTGGACAGGACATCATAGACTGTCTTTATGGAGATATCCTGAGAGGATAAAAAAAAAAATTCTAGTTGTTAGATTTTTAATAACCGTTTAGGTCTATGTTTGCAGTGTCAAAACTCACAGCCTGCGTGGTCTGATTCATGCATTTCATAGCAGGAGTTCTGCGGTCATCCAGAAACAGAGGCTCTTTCCAGTGGTCATAGTTAGTCTCCAACACATACCACCTGCCATTCTTCACATCCAGCCTACAATACATAGAAAGTGTAAACTGTAATCCTGACAACCTCAAACTCGCACACATGCTCTTTTAACTGTATGTGTAAAGAAAAGCAACGCTCACTCACTCCAGTGGATTGATGCTGTGTGTTCTGGATCTGGTGATAATGCAGGCTTGACCCGGCTGATTTCCTCCGAGGATGAAGTAAGCTGGAGCCAGCAGCTTAGTGTCAGACAACAGAGCCTTGGCACTTTCATAGCTAAAAGACGACGGTATCCAAATAATCATCATCTGAACCCAAGAAACATTCATCTGATTCTTTTGTTTTATATTTCAATATTTAATGTTTAAAAAAATACAAATAAAAAAAATAGCTTAATATATACTGTCTTGTCAAAAGTTAGGAATAATTAAGATTTTGACAATACTTTACTTTAAGGACCAATTATTACTATTACCAAGCATGAATATTACTAGCGAACTGACTATTTATTGGTACTTAAAAAGCACATATTAATCCCTTATTCTGCATTACCAGAGTTTAGATCCCTAAATCCTACCCTTACTATTAATACGCAGCAAATCAGGAGTATATTGAGACAAAAGTTGTACTTAATAGTTAGTTAATAGTGAAAATAGGACCTTAAAATAAAGTGTGACAATTATTATTTGTTTGAATATTGCTGTATTTGCATTTATTTGAAAAACAGTAACATTGTGAAATGATAACAATTTAATTCTTTTCTATCTTAATATATTTTAAAATTATTCATGTGATGTCTGAATTTCTAGCAGCCATTACTTCAGTCTTCAGTGATCATTCAGAAATCATTCTAATATGCAAATTTTGGTGCAGAATTATTATAACTTATTTTTAGCATTGAAAACCGTTTTTGCTGCTTAACATTTTTGTAGAACCTGTAATACAATATTTAACAATATTAGCGTTTTCCTGTATTTTTTTAATCAAATAAATGCAACCCTGGTGAGCAGAAGAGATGTTTCCTTTTAAAAATATTTGTAAAAATCATAATTATTCCAAACTTTTGACTGGTAGTATATAAGTAACACTATACTTGATGCTTATATTAAACTATAAAGTGATTGTAAATGCAGAGTAATGCCTTACACTCTTTAATAAAAAAGTGAAGTATTATAAGACGTGGTTATAATTACTTATGAAAGCATAATGCATTAGATTGTGTATTATAATTCATTCAAATACATTTATAAAGCACTATAATGCAAAAATATATATTCATATATTTATCTATAGCCAACCTAGTTGCATTCTCCAGCACAGAACGAGTCAGAAACCTCATCCACATGCCGTCTCTCTTCCCCAAGATCCACTCCAGAATCCCTATAATTCACAATAAAACATTCGAACAAAAAAGATAAGATCTAACCAAATGAAGTAAGTCTTTGTAAAACCGGCAAATCCTCAAGAAATAAAGCTTCAACATATTTTTGCCAATTCCTCATATGACTCAGCAAATACCAGGCAAAGGCTTACCGATGTAGCCTCCGTCCAGACTGAATCGTTCATTCATAGTGAGGGTGAAGGAGTGCTACAAAGAACACAAAAGACAGAGACACAGTGAGAAACAGAAGCAATGTGATTACTGACCAACAATCCATGCTTTCACAATTCTCTTTCCTGTTAAATTGCAGAAGTCAAACTAAAAACAATGTGAGAGACAAAAGGGCATTGTGAATCTTGTCACCATGTTTTATAATTCATTCTGGATTCAAAGCTAATGAACTCAGGTCGCTCATACTGATGTGAGCTCTGTCCTTACCGGATGAATACCGGTCAGCATGCCCACGTATCCTGCGAAATTAGTGGATTTAAAGACGGTCTGGTTGTTGTGTCTGAAGTCAATGTTGACAACCAGTGGCTTCAGCTTCTCTGTGATGATCCATGACCTGTTCTTCAAATCCCAACTGTAAGCAGAAGAGACCACAGAACAATATGACATCTTCTAACATTCAATCAAAACATTCTCAATAATTGAGGAAGTGGGTTAACAACAATGCACTAATCTCACCCCATGAAAAGTCCAAAGTCCAGGTTCCTTGCATGGATGAGACTGCCTATAATAAAAACAAACTTTTTTTTTTTTGACTACCATTCAAAAGCTTAGAGTTGGTAAGATTTTGAAAGTCTCTTGTGCTCACCAAGACTGACTTTATTTAAAAATTACAGTATTACAATTATAATTATTATTACAATTCAAAAGAACTGTTTTCTCTTTAAATGTTTTTATAATTATTATTACAATTCAAAATAACTGTTTTCTCTTTCAATATATTTTAAAATATAATTTGTTCCTGTGATGGCGAAGCTGAATTTTCAGCAGTCGTTACTCCAGTCTTCAGTGTCACATGATCCTGCAGAAATAATTCTAATATGCTGATTTGGTGTTTAAGAAGCATTTCTTCTTCTTCTTATTTTTTTGTGATTAATTTTTTAAAGATTCTTTGATGAATAGAAAGCTCAAAAGAACAACATTTATTTGAAATATAATTTTTTTTAGCATTATAAAAGTTTTTACTGTCACTATTGATCAATTTAATGCATCCTTACTAAATAAAAGTACTAATTTCTAAAAAAATTAAAATATTTTTTTCCAAATCCAAACGTTTGACTGGTACTGTATGTCATATAATGTGTATTTAATATTTTATAACACAGATTCAAATTATTAAATATTATTTAAAAAAATGAAAATAATGTTATCTATAGACGATATACTCACCATTGACATCCTCTGCAACCAGAGAAGTGCATACGGTGAACACCTCATAAAATACATTGAAGAGCACCACCTCACCTGAGAACAAGTAATTGTGATTTAAATATAGATTTTATTTAACAGCGTTAGGCATAATAGTATGGTTTTGATGCATTTCATACCCAAAGGAACACCAGACACTGATGCTATTCCTCTGATCTCCTCATTGAACGGGTAAGGCAGGGTATCCACCATCAAGGGCTGGGGACAAACACATTATAGTCCTTTTAGCAAACACTGTTATTACTTCTCAAATTATTATTGTAGTCGATGATCAGTGACAGCTACTGTATATGTCTGATATCAGGTTTAAGATTATTGTTTACTTAAAGGGATAGTTCACCCAAAAATGAAAATTTGATGTTTATCTGCTTACCCCCTGGGCATCCAAGATGTAGGTGACTTTGTTTCTTCAGTAGAACACAAACGAAGATGTTTAACTCAAACCGTTGCAGTCTGTCAGTCATATAATGGCAGTCTATGGGCTCCACGGCTTTGAGAGTCAAAAAAACATACACAGACAAAACCAAATTAAACCCTGCGGCTCGTGACGATACATTGAGGTCTTAAGACACGAAACGATCGGTCTGTGCAAGAAACTGAACAGTATTTATATCATATTTTACCTCTGATCCACCGCAATGTCCAACTGTCCTGAGCGCGTATCCGGCGCGTGACGTCAAATAAATACGGTTGGGCAGAAATTTCCACGTTGTCTGATGATATATCAAAATCGTCTTCCATTGTGATGACCTGTACTTCTAAATATCTTTAAATCTTTGCAGTGCTAGTGAACACGTCCGCAATCTCTCTGTACTGTGTAAATAATGAGTGACGTATACGCGCGACAGATCGCTTCCGCACATGCGTCTACTATCATAGATATGTATAGATACCCTATTCGACCGCTCCAGATACGTTGACGCGGCCCCCATTTTGGAACGTATCGCGGCCCATAGAAACAGTCACTAATGAGGCATCTACTTATATATATCTATGTCTACTATGCCAGATCACGTACACGCGTCACTGCCGGATGTTGTGAACGCGCTCAGACATTGCGGTGGATCAGAGGTAAAAAATGATATAAATACTGTTCAGTTTCTTGCACAGACCGATCGTTTCGTGTCTTAAGACCTCAATGTATCGTCACGAGCTGCAGGGTTTAATTTGGTTTTGTCTGTGTATGTTTTTTTGACTCTCAAAGCCGTGGAGCCCATAGACTGCCATTATATGACTGACAGACTGCAACGGTTTGAGTTAAAAATCTTTGTTTGTGTTCTACTGAAGAAACAAAGTCACCTACATCTTGGATGCCCTGGGGGTAAGCAGATAAACATCAAATTTTCATTTTTGGGTGAACTATCCCTTTAAGTCAATCATGATTAAACATCATACAAAGTGATATGTTAGACAGATGAGATTCCTTAATAACTCACCAAGTCCTTGTCTACTAGATCAATAAGCTTTCCACTTGGAACAAATGCATCTGCTAGATCTCTGATAGCCTGAATCATGCTCACCATCTAAAGGCAAAGCACATGAGCTCTTGAGCAATGGGAACACATCAGCCCGTCTCAGATCATCTGGTTTTAGGTTTGTACTGTAGGCTTCAAGGTTTTCAGTTCAATTTTGGTTTAAAGTTCACAACAAAGTTCACCAACACATCAATTAAAAGAGATAAGATCTCAAATCGAAGGCAACTAATAATCAAGTGACATGCCAAAAACTGTACATGTTGCTGTTAAGTGCATTCATAGATAGAGCACTGAAACAGTGATGTATGAACTCACATCATTCTTTTTGTCTGTAATGATATCTGTCCATCTTTTGCTTGGTGGTAAATCCAGATTAACAGTATACCAAGCCACATCGCCTTTAAATCTAAAAGATACAGAGATTATACAGATTTTCTTATTCTCTCTTCAATGAGAATTACAAACTCGTAATTACATTTGAAATCGTTCATATTAAGAGAAAATCAGGTTAAGTTGTAATATAATTGTTATATTGATGTTTCATATTTTGTGTTTGCATAACAAGGATACATATCCACCCTGTTGTAACAAAACTCGTGACTTTGTTTCACTTCTTTAAAACTAAAGTATACATTTTTTTATTATTGACATCAAAGACAACAAGCTGTCAAAATAAAAACTTTTGGAAATGTTTAAAATTAATTGTATATATCCGTGTTACCGTTTGTATTTTCATATACACCTGTTGTACATGTAATTGTATGCTTGCACTGATTTAAATTTTGGTCTCTGACAGCAGTTTTTACAGGTTGTATAATCCATAATTTCAGCTGTCATACTCACGTTGGGCCGTTTGGAGGATACATGCCACTCCTGCACTCTTCTGTGTACTGAAATATGAACATAAACTGAAGTTGTGGTGTTTACTTCGCAAATTTTCTTTATGCTAACAGCACCGCTAATTAAGGTTGCAAAACATAGTAATGGCGTATAAACCCAAAAAGCCCTTGCAGACAAACTAAGCCCTGCTATTATTCTAAATTATATGATATGAGTCGATATGAGGATTGCCGTAAACAACCATTTGTTTTCATAAATATCAATGACAACTTTAGTTTGTCACTTACCGGTGGTACATATTGCGAAGACGAACACATAAACATAAAAGAGAGAATAAAACAGCAAAAGTATAATTTGGCGATCATGATGAGACGAGTGCAGTGCTCCTCAGAAGAGTCTGTGAACGCGGAAGTGCCGATGATTCTCGTGACGGTTCGAGACACTGGGGGAGTTTCCTAAACAATGAGTTACTAAATAAAAGATGACTTCACATTCTGTCTTTGGGTTTGTCCCTGTTTTATTTGAATAAGCTGTAGCATAAGTCGGTCCTACATCACCTATTTTTTTTTAAAGCCTTGTAAGGAGAAATAATAACCGCAGAATAACAACGCCGTTTTATCTCTATCGATACAAGCAGGATCGGTAAAATCCACTGTTAAACAAATAGGCGAATGTATTGCGCCATCTATCGGCTGTAGAAGGAAGTGCAACAACAAGCATATAGTTTAGTAGAGCTGAGATGAAGGTTAAACAGCTCTCCAATGACTGAGCAGTTTTAATACTGTCACTATTCAAGAGCTATTAAGTACACAAACTACACAAAGTGCCCAAATATGCACGCTTGTTTAAATGTAATCTTGGAGTGCTTATACATTTTGAAAATTAGTTACAAAAAAGTCTGTTTAACTAAGACGTTACATTTAACTATTTTAAGACTACAATAATCATTTCACAATCAATATTCAGAGTTATCAACTGCAATAATTAATGTACATTATTAAATATCCATTAGGTCTTTAAATGTGGCTTAACATTAACAATATTTTCATTTAAATATCAAATCCTACAAAAATCACACCACATCAACACTAAATGAATTCAGTCAGAAACATTAAGGACAACCACATTTTTCCACAAGTTATTCATTCTTTTCTTTGTATGTACCATGAAAATTGGCTTATAATAACGAAACTGATTAAACAACTGAGATTTGAGTTTTACAATCCATTTAATATGGGGAGTTCATCAAATTTACAATCCAATATTAAAGAAATGACTGTCATTTAACAGATTACTTAGCCTATAAGTTATATTGTTATTAGATATCTAAAAACAACAACAACAAAACATTTTCTTGTGAAAAGTGACTAGGTTTATTATATTAAAAAAAAGGCAGTGATTCCATGCCAATGTAAAATTTAATCGATGAAGAAGAAAAAAAAAGCACTTCTGGATTCACTTGCAGTATCTGTCAGCCTTCATCTTGGCTCTCCTAAAAAAAGAAAAAAATTATGATTTCTAATAAACATGATAATTAAATACATGTTTATTTGTATAGCGCTTTTCATGATACACATTGTTACAAAGCAGCTTCGGTCTCACACTGTAAATGTTGAAATATTTGCATATTCACAAAGTTTCATACACCACCTTGTATGATAAATCACCCAATAGAGCATATCTACATAATCTAACACCTTTTCATCCATCTAAGGGTGATTAGTTAATTAGGCTACAGTCATTTATTATTCAGTATGAGCACAGTTTGAGGTTTTCCTCCTGAAGTCAGAGGTCTTACCTGTCTAGCAGTGCCTCATGGAATTTTCCATCTGTTCTGGCTGTTTTCAGCAAACTGCTGTCTTCCTCATTCACCCTCAGCTTCCGATCCTGGAAACTCTGGAACTTCTTCCTGTATGTAAATTGCAAACATTCACATAAACATTTACTTCGCTGAATGCTCAATAAACGGCACAGCTTCGGTATTTTACTGCAAGCACTCACACATAGTTGACCTCACAGTTCTTGACATCACCCCTGTCTTCATCTGCTATATCGTCTTTTCTCTTCACCTCTCTTTCTGTGCATGAACGGATCTGTGGAGGACAGATAAGCATGAAAAATAATGTCTATAGTCTTCATTCCAGAAAATAGTTCTAATTTGTAACTGTAATTTGACAGCAAGTCTTGTGTTCAGATAAAATACAATGTATGCACTGCAGTGGCCAAATCTGAATCACTGAATTATTTCTCAAAACGTTGGTGAGCTTTAGGATTACATATAATGATGTCTAAAATAGCTGTGAATCATTCTGTCCTTCAGACAACAACAACAACAAAAATCTTCCCCCTTAAGCAATTCATCTTGGTGTGGACTGCGAGTTTAGAGAGATTCACCTTGATTATCTCCTCCTCTCCAGCTGTCTTGTTTTTGGCCACTATGTCCCCACTCTCACTGTACGAGATGAAACAACTGTTTGCAGCAAGCAAGGCCATTTTACCCTACAGGAAACAAGTAGAAGAAATGGTAGAAACTGAATTCAAAACTTTCGGCCAAATGTACCAGAGTTATTCACATTTCCTATACAAAATGAAGTATTTTCATTGTGACTGGTGAATTGATTTGATTGGCAGATTCACTCACATCCTGAAACACTGGTTCCCACTGCTCCCTGGAGCCGATGGCATCTGATCGACCAACCACAACACCGTCTGAGTTTATACCAAAATACTTCCCGTAGCCTGACTTTAGTGCTATCCTACCCACCAGCGAAAGGGATAAGAAAAATTAGTTACATGATCAATTTAACTTCATTAGTTATGAAATATTTCAATTCATTTACAACTTTGGTTATGATCTTTACCTGGAGTCTGAGAGTCTAATGGCAGTAAACTGTTCTGGAGGATCTGGGCCTTCATCATCTGCAAACATAAAACATAAGTATTTTTAAACTTGTATACACTACCATAAAAAAAACTTTATTTTATTTTATTTAAAGTCAACTCCTATGCTCAAAAAGGCTAGTTTTTTGATAATTTCAGTTAAAAGAGTAATTTTGTGAAAATGTAATTTATTCCTGTGATGGCAAAGCTGAATTAAAGTTTAATTAAATTAACTATAATTATTATAATTAAAAACTATAGCATTTATTTAAAATAGGAATCTTTTGTAAATAAATAATCTTTTACAAATGTATTTACTGTAAATTACTGTAAAATATTGTCTTTAATGTATTTTTTGATTAACTTAAATACATCCTTGCTGAATAAGAGCATTAATATATCTCAGTATGTAATTCTTAAATAAATCTTACTTGACGTCAAATGCTTAATAGTAGACTGTATTCACTGCATACAATTGCACTATTACAAGAGACGAATCTGTGACTGCCATTTCTATTCAGAAGAGCTGTCAGAGCTGCCACACATTTATAACTGAATAATTTCCATGTCATGATAATTTTCACAGCTGAACATTTTTAAGGACATGAAACAACGATGGGAAATTCTGCTATAATAATATAAAATACAGAGCACAAAAAAAAGTTTTGCAGCTAAACTACTTGGCGATAACTCATACTGCTGAGCCTTGCAGTATTTTAACAGTAGTTTGTTCTTCAACCATGAATGACTGAACAAAAGGAAGAGTAAACCTGAACGCTGATATTCTATTCTATCTGCTGTAGACATGATGAACTCGTGAATATTTTAAGATACTGAATTCTGCAAGAGCATTCAAGTGATACGCTCAAAGAGTTACAGAGCAGTGTGTGTGCCCATGTTTTTCCCTGGAGTGATAAGCATACAGATGCATTGGTCATGAAGTGGTGTCAATAGCGGTTTCAGTCATTCATTTAGTAATTTCAGGTCTCAACCGCTAAATTAAATTGATTTTAGAGAGCGTGCACAAATTTTATGGTGCTCCCAGAGTGATACAGAAGCCGATCCTTACAACCAGCGGTCAGTGCGAAGCAGAAAATAAGGCTGGAAAGAAAAACAATCGTAAACAACTCCTTCTGGTGACTGGACTATGAAATTGCTCTGTGCTTTGCATGAACGGCTGCGGTAATAGCGACTGACGATCCATAACATTATTCAGGTTTTAAATCCCACACTGACAGCAAAAGAAAAACACCAACACCTAGCCATCTCTACTTTTGAGAGACTTATTTGTTCCGCACTATTAGAGGGACCTTTTCAATTTAAAAGGCAATATAAAAGCTGCATGGCTGAAAAAAATACAATGCAGTATAATTGCAGAGAAAGATTTGCCTGTTGGCTGAAAATACTGCAAAGGGAGATTGTAAAATGCATTTTAAAACATGGGCCTTTAAAATAAAACATTATATTTCCAATTAAGAGTCTAGTTTTCAAATCATTTTAAATCTCACCACTATATAAATGCACTTGATCATGGGCCGCCCACAACCTTTGTAACTTCAAGGCCCACTACTGTGAAATTCAATATTCTAAGGCCATCCTACACAGGCAATATTTTTTGTACTTCTTTAACTCTGCTTAAGTAACAATTTTTACATTCTTTTTTTTAAATTATTTAAATATGTTCCTTGAGGTCCACTTATAATGTTAGCAATAGTTATTTTTCATAATCATATATTCTCAACAACTAAAATCTTTCCTAATTTTGACCCTTTGTCTGAAATGCTCCATTTTAATGCTGCGTCTCCTTTAAGGCTCACCAGTAAACAGCCACCTATGATTGGCTAACGTCACTGCATTACATCAAAACAATTAGTACATTAAAATACAGTACAGTTACTTTGTAGAGGAAAGAATACATATACATGTTTATCAAAGGTGTTTCTGATGCCATAAAAGGCCTCCAGATACAGATTTTTTTTACCGTGGACATTCTTTGTAACTTAAACTCACTACTAACTTGCACAACTAGCCTATAACTTAAGGAAACATGAGTTTAAAACACTGAAGTGAGCACTCTTAAGAGTTAGAAATGTGATGTATACATGTTTTTAACTGATTTTGAATGTTAATTTGTGAAATTTGTGTTAACAACATAAACTGAGCTGCCTTGCAGCCACAAATTTCAGGAGTTTAGTGAGGCAAATAAAATCAGCACCTTTATGTGGAGCTCCTACAGTGAAGAGTCCAGTGTCCATTGCATGAATGTAGGAGTTTTTGTGCATCTCAATGGCCACTGTTCCTGTGATCTCACCAAAACTCTTCACTGACCACCAGCCTCCTGATGAGACACATTCAGAAATACACACACTTAATGTCATGAATAATAGGCAGTACCAACAACAATATAGCTATTATGCAGATCTTACAGCATTTACAAAAACAAATCTTGCGCTAGTCAATAAATCTATTTATCTATGATTATGAATGATATATTTTATAACTCCATGGGCAAAGTGACAATATATACCAACGATATCCATCTTATCTTCATCATCATCTCGTTTTCTCTTCTTGTCCTTGTTCTTTTTCTTCTTTCTGCACAATATGGAAGGTGCAGGCCATTTAATATTAACGCTAGCGTAAAAAAATCTGATATTAACATAACTCTTGGCATACACAGCTGCTTAACTTGCATCAATTAGAACAGTAAGTTAATTAACGTAACTGTAAACATTAATGAGAAATGATACAACTTTGGTGGAACGCAATACAAAAAGAAAGCCTTACTTTTTATCGTTTAATCCTCTTAGGACGAGTTTGGAGGACTTTACGTGTGAGTACTCTGTCATGATCACACACGGTTAAAGCAGCTGAATTAAAACGTTTTTGTGGGCTAGTCTATGGATATATTACGTTCTTCTCATTCGCAACTGGAAAGCGTTTTCCTGCAATAGTGTGTGTGTACGGTGGCCCAGAGGAGCCCGCTGAAGACGTGCGGCTGGAGAGAAGCGCGACACCCTTCGGTTTGAAAACGCACTGCTTACTATTGTGCTTATAATGGAAAACAATATCAAAAACACCATAACAAGCTAGGAGGAATCTAAAAGTTAACAAGAGTATAAAGACTTAGAGAGAAATATGTGGTGGTAGCTTGAAAAGAGACATTATTTTATTATTGTTAATTGTGATTTCTCCAGAGCTTATTGTGGCTGTGTCTGAAATCGCATAGGCCTACTTTGTGAGGAGGTAGGCCTACTTATTTTAACTAAACAATTACTTGGCAATCATAACCATTAAAATTGTATATAACATTATATATTTGCTAAATATGATATATTTCATACTATATGCTATATAGTATGAATGTGTGTGGTATGAATGTAATCTGGATGTATTTGTAATGTGGTTATTGTAATGTGACGTATGGCAACAGCTTTTGTGTCGAGGCCTCATGGGATAGTAAAGTGTCCACTGGATGCACACTTCAGAATCTCGCTGGAAGTAGGAGGTGATCAAGGTATGTTTTGTCTAGACGTTTTATGAATACTGTGAATTCGACACACTTTTTCACACACTTGAGTATAGTAGGAGGAAGGTATGCATATTCACTTGCTGCCTCAGTCGAGTGCACTTGACTTGACCTTCCATTTCCAGTGTGATGGATGAAGGAATTTTTTTTTCTTGACTCAGTATTTGATTGAACTACCAAATGATGAGACATTTTACAGGTAAATTTATTAAATTTGTAAAGGTAAATTTTCTACTTAGAAAAAAGTACATACTTTTCTTTAATGGACCATTTGTTTCTCTTTGATATGCCTACACCATTAACCCATATAAAAACAAAAATGGGGGTCAGATTTAAATCATGTATTGCACTGCATATTCTATACACATTTTATTGATCATCTGGTTAGTATAGTATAGTAGCCTATATGTATTTTAAAATGTAATAATTACATTGCATTAAATGCCATAGCCAATTTATAGACTAATCACTACTTGGCGAGTTTTAATTTTGGATCCTGCATATGAGTAGCTGCAGACATTAACATATGTGGGAATAACATTTTTTTTTTTTGTTTGTAATACTGTTTTTACAAAATAGAATGTCTCCAAAAGCAGGTCTTGGGAGGTATTGTTTGATTTAGCTCAAATCTAGGTACACATTTGTCACATTTGTAAAAATACAGAATGTTTTTAGTTAGGGTTAGGGTGTGGGTTAAAGTCAGGTTATAGTATTTATAGCTAGCTTTGTATAGAATCAATAGAAGTCTATTGAATATGTGTGTGGGTGTGTGGTGTCAAGGTATTCTCCATGTGGACCAAATGTCCCCACAAGGATAGTAAAACCTTATTTTTAATTTTTTTTGCAGGGACAACATTTCAGTCCCCTTGAGGAAAACAGTTTATAAATCATAAGTTTTTTGTTTTTTTCTCTGTAAAAATGCAGAAAGTGTTCAGTGAAGGTTGTGTTTAGGGGTAAGGTTATGGTTAGGAGATATAATATACAGTTTGTAAAGTATAAAAATCATTATTTCTATGATGAGTGAGTCCTCATAAAACACATAAACCCAAGATGTGTGTGCAAGCTTATGTTGCTCCTACAATGGTTTTAAATCACAGGGTGTGTCAGAAAGGATAGGTTATTGCCAGATTGGTTATCAGACTGGAGGGAGGAGCCAAGGCAGTGTGTCTCCAGGCCCTTTTCTCTCCAGACACAGCGTCTGCCATGAGTGAGCCACTGTTTAAACCAAAATAGCTCTGAACATTGCAAAGCCCTCTTATTTAAAACCTCAGCACACCACTGTAATAATGAAACGCTGGAGTACAAACACACACAATGTGGAGTCTCTACTGTGTCAATCATTTCAATACATCCTTTTAAAGGCCTATTAAATCAATCAGTTCAAATCAGTTACACAGGAGCGGCCCACCGAGGATCAAACTCTGCTAATGACAATCATTAAAAGGTGGCCTGTTGAAGAACTGGTCAGAGCATGCAATAAATCATAGTGTGACACTGCCAGGAAGTAAAATAAACAAGACAGCTGCGTTTTGGGCAGACTTTAAATGCAAACAGGAGAATGAGTTGAACAGGGTGACTGGAGGAACAGCAAAGACATCTTGCATATGGTTAGACTAGGCATAAAACATAATTGATTCCAGATATCCCAGACAGACACTGACACACACAGAGCACATTAACCTGCTAAAAATGGATGCCAACTTTATTTTCCTTAAAAAATGGTGGCTTACATCAAAAGCTAAGTATTATGCATATCAGTCGTATCAGATTATAATCTTCTGAAAGTCTTGCAGTAGACACGCTTAATCGTAAGTGATAAGACTAAAGGAGCAGGACGAGCGGCTTTTTTGATGGGTCTGTTTAATGAGATGTTTGTATCCATGTTCGGTGTCTTTCTCTTGTCCTTGTTGAAAGGCTTTTTGTCTCTATGTTCGGCCTGCCCCATTACCTCCATCTTTCAAGTTGAATAGAGAATTTATCATCCTTAGCAAGCATCAATGTGGTATCAGACACAAAGCAATTGGGGATGGCGAGGAGGAAGAGCAAAGGGAAAGATGGCTTAATATATAGTCTAATGAGCTTAGTGTTTCATTTCCTCCCATGGTGCCAGTCATCAGTCAGGTGGTTGGCTATAGATAGCTATTGGTCTGACTTTCAAAGTAATATAGCTAAGCCATGATACAGTGCCAACAAGAACAGAATGGCTGACAGCATATCATTGGGAACAAGTATAAGCTTATAAACAAAAGATCATATGCTTCTGTAAGTCAGACCAACTCCTCATAGACTTTTTCCTTTCATTAAATATTTTGTTAATATTTATATATTTTTAAATATGTATTATTTTAATTAATGTGTTTTTTAAATATAAAATATAAGATATTTTTTCCAGTCTGATGGGTTTTTAAGCTCAGGATAGTCACTAGGTCATGATGTCATTTCCGTATGACATCTGCTGCTCCAGAGTGATTAGTCACATGACATTTAGGTTAATGTGATTGGCTCAAAAACAACTTTGCCTATAACTGAGTGCCCATGAGCAAACATGGCAGATTTCATATCATATACTTCCAGGATTTGTGGGGTGTGTGATTGATGAACTTCATAGCTGAATGAGTTCAGATGAGCCAAATGCAATTAAACACACACATAAAAATGCCAATGTTAGTGAGGAAATGCATTTAATCATTGGCATGAATGTCTACTCTGAAGCCAGCTGTTATTTTTAGCCAGAATAATCAAGGAACTAAAATCACAAACTTTGCTGCTGTGATGTAGAAGCTGCTTCTAAATCAAAACTAAAAACAAAAATTAAGATCAAAACGTGACATGTTTATGAGCCAGCACATGCTGCTTCTTGCTGTGCCTGGGGAAATGGTTAGGGACTGAGCCAAATTTAATTCATTGGTGACTGCAATGAATTTTGTTGAACAATGTGACTTGCAGAGATTTGAGGTAGCCTATGCTTTGTAACTTCACATATGTGCCTTGCTTCTTTCTTTGTATGTCTCAGTTTTTTCTGTTTATGGTGTGGCAGTGTACAGCAGCGTACTGTGGTTGCTTGTACTGTTAGTAAAATTCTCTGCAGACACAGGAGTGCTGAGAAGATAACGCCGCCCCCATGAGGTATTACAAAGAAAATTGCTGTGCACAAGACGCCGTCAGGCTCTCTTACCGAAAACCTCCGATGGGAACTGTGTGTTCCGATATTTGACAGTGACTGACAGAAGAAATAAGGGGGAGGGGGAGTGCACACAGGACCGGAGAATGCAGCTGCTAATGGGACCGCCGCAGCACCTCCGCGTTGCAGACAGTAAGTGATTTTTGGGCTAGCAGGCAGGAGCAGCTCGGTAGCTCAGGGTCTGTGTGTCTCTCTGCCGTTGTGTTAATGAGAAATGATTTGAGCTGGAGAAGAATGATTGACGGTGAAGAGCAGGTGGTCGACACAGAGGTGTGAGCTTACCATGTAAGACAGTATCATAACACATGCCTTCCATCCACTTTTTGCTGTTTTTATGGATGTCAGACTCCCTCTCGTCCCCTTACACACTGGATACAGTCTTTTGAGGGTCTTGCATCAATGTGTGCATCGATTCAAGAGAGCCTTTCCTCCATGTAACCGAATCTCTAGAGTGCCACCTTCACCCTCGGGCTAAACCCAGGATATAATGTCACATTTTGTGAGGTTAACAAGTTGACTCTCATGACACTGACCCAGTGATTGAGCTGTGGGTTGAAGCCTTCAGGAGGTGAGCTATAGCGTTAGGTTTTGCTGACAAGTAATTTGACAAATAACTGCAGAGAAATGCACATTTGGGAGTTTAGTCAAGGCAGCTCCAATATAACACAATTTACAGCAGAATCTATAGTAAAGAAAAAAACTGCTTGCTTTGTTGAAATAAAGCCACTTTGAGATCAGGTGTAGCAGCAGAGTATGAAAAATGTACTCTTTGGCCCATGGGAAAGCCTCACCGGTTTGGGTTTTGGTAACAGAGCTGTTTGGACAATAGCTTCAGGCATAGGAAACTGGACTGAAAGGCGGTATATCGAAGACCTTTGAAAGACTCCAGCTGAGTTTTCTCCTCTGTCATGGGTCTCTACCCTCAAACAGACTACAAGCTAGAGTCACTTTAGGGCTCAGCCGATTTCTCACTAAATGTGATTTGGAGGGGAAGAGATCGCAGCATGAAAAACTAGCCGTGAAATTTCCCTCTCAACACTTCTGGAGGAGGTAACAGACCAGGTTTCTCCGGCCCCATCCTTTCTATTCTATTTTCCTTCTCTCTATGTATCCTTTTACAAGATGATTTTTTCAGCCTTTCCTTCACAAACCACATACCTTCCAATATCTGTGAAATTTACGGTAAAAACATCAGCTGTTATAGCTAGAACTTTACCATAAAAAATATGGTAGGTTTTACGGATTAAATTTACAGTACAAAAAAGTATATTTCATTAAGTGATATCATGTTAGTATACC